GCGGCGGGGGTCTAAACATATAATGAGGGAAAAAATATTTTTTCCCCTATAATATGTTTGAGGAAAAAAGATTTCTTCCCCTATAATATGTACAGGGCCGGGGTTGGGGTGTAGGCTTTGAAGTGCAAAGGGTTCAGGTTTTAGAGCATGCATACCTACTTACTAGCATGGTTATGTGAGTGCTGATAGCTACATTCGTATGCACAGCTGCTGACATTCAGCTACAGTGTACCTATCATTGCATGTATGCATATCATTTACGCCTTGCTCGATGCTTGTATCTATCATCCACGCACTGTTCTTTCAACTCGTGTGAGAGAGAGAGAGAGCTTCGTTGTGTATGCGGATACATGGACATGAACGTTACATGCATGTGCTGCATGTATACACATATGCATATATGCATGTGCTTGGATATAGATATATAGTCTCTCTGTATATATATATATATATGTGTGTGTGTGTGTACATGAGCAAGTACATGAGCTATCTATACAAGAGGCTTGCGTCTGGCTTGCTTCCATGATGTATGTGCACGGTGTCTGCTCTTCTCGACCGACCTATGTATCCAAGCTGCTTGGCTTTCATGGTCACACACGTATCCAACCTACAGTCACGTTGTAAGCACTGCTTTGAAATGGCAAGCTTCCGGGGTTCGGGGCGCACCTAACAGAGCAACCTCAATACATCGAAGAAGTCGGTGTTGTACCTCATTTCGATATGTCGCTTCGGAATATAACACAAGAAATGACCCACTGTGTTCCCAACACCGCCCGTGACCGCACGCACCTCACCCTCGTGCTCCAAGTTCAGCAGACGCGTGGGCCTGCCGGGATTCTGTAAGGGTGCTATTCTGTAGAGGTTCTGCGAGGCGTCTACGGTATGGCGCGGTTTAAGAAAAGGGCATACCGAGGGAAAACAAGTGCTGTTGTGCTGCGGAATCCACTTTTTACTTCCCTCGAACCTAATCCCCTTACCCGGCCGAACCCAAAGCTCAACATCCCTGACAACACAAAGCTATAAAACGCCGAAACACTGATCTCCAACAACTAAGCCCGGAACCCAAACCCCCCAAACCCGCTCAACCCTTGAAGCCCCAAACCCTGAGACTTTCAAACCGGAAACCCTGAACTTCTGCCCCGTGGACCACTAAACTCTAGAGCCTGAAACCCTAAACCCCAAAACGCTAAACCCGAAGGCCCAACACCCCCAAAACCTCTAAAACCCTCAAAACCCCCAAAGCCCCCAACACTAAAACCCGAAACCGCAAGAACCCCTCAACCCAAAAGCACGAAACAGAAAACAACAAGAACAACATATCAAAATGCCCAAAACCAGGAGGAAAAAAAAAACAAGCGTGGTCTGTTGGAAACTTGTGGTCTTCGGTGCTTTACAATTGGGTAGTTCTCTGAATTAGCGGTACTTTGTCTTGGGGTCCTGATAATAAGGATCCCTATTTTCGGAAACCCCCAAGTGCCTTTGAGGAGTTGGGCACTTGACAACTTGGGCCTAAACCCGAAACCCTAACCCTTAAACCTCTACAGTAAACCCTAAACCCTAACCCCTAAACCCTAAACCCCTAAACCCTAAACCCCTAAACCCCTAAACCCTAAACCCCTAAACCCCTAAACCCTAAACCCAAGACCCTACACCCTAAACCCTAAACCGTCTCTACTCCCCTTTGAGGGTTTGGAGAGTTGAAGGTTTGGGCCCTCCTTGGGCTTGCAGCTGCTTGCCACCTTGCCTGAGAAGCGTTTCGGAGAGCCTGTCCAGCCTCTCCTGGACTATTCGGGTTGAGGGTTCTGCGGTTTTTGGTGGCTTTGGGAGTTTTGGGTTTAGGGTTTAGGGTTTAGGGTTTAAGGTTTAGGGTAGGGTTTAAGGTTTAAGGTTTAGGGTTTAGGGTTTAAGGTTTAGGGTTTAGGGTTTAGGGTTTAGGGTTTAGGGTTTAGGGTTTATGGGATGTTGGCACTCAACCCTGACGCGAACGCCCCCTAAACCGCGGTCTGCAAAGGCTCGGGGCTCCTCGATCTGCGCAAGCTCCGCGTCCTCCTGGGGTGCAAGCCGGTTTAGGGTTTAGGGTTTAGGGTTTAGGGTTTAGGGTTTAGGGTTTAGGGTTTAGGGTTGAATGGAGAGCCTTTGTTCTTCTGAAATTTCGGGATAACTAGGGTTTAGGGTTTAGGGTTTCGGGATTTGGGCCCCTATTCTTCGTAAAATTATTTGGGGGGGTACCTTCCAGGATCCTACGGGTTTTTACTACCTGCCTCCTTTCGAACACAAGGCTCGGGATTTACTGCAAACCCGATCTCTGAAACCCCAAACTCTACATCCGAAACTACGTTAAACCCTACCCTCGAAGCCTGCAACCCCTAAGCCCGCTTCTTCTCGACACCCGCGGACCCCCTTCCTGCGAACCCTACCCTAAGATCCTGAACCCTGAGCCCTCAGCCTAACCCTAGATCCTCAAGCCTTAACCCTGCGACACTCAGGCTTCTCGCAAGACCAATGTCAAAGACCAAGGATGCAGCAGGCAGACTCTGTTTCGCTAATCCCCTGAACCTCAAACCCTGAAGCCCTAGGACCCAAGAAGCTCGACCCTAAACCCTAGACCCCTAGACCCCTAAACCCTAAACCCCTAAACCCCTAAACCCCTAAACCCCTAAACCCCTAAACCCCAAACCATGAACCCTCTTCCCAATCCTGGCCTTGAGAGCTTTGTTGGTGTAGCCCGAGGTCTTTCGAAGCTTTTCCTGCAAGCTTACGGGTTCATTGTGATCAGTGGGTTTAACAAACTCCAAAACAGAAAACCCCGCACCCTCCGAAGGAGCCAAGAGCCCGAAGCTAGGGGTTTAGGGCAATGTGGGGGCCTTGATAATTAAAATAGGGTTTTGGTGTATATTATATTATATTTATGATAAGGAACCCGCAAAACGGTATTGGCAATTTAGGCCCCTATATTAGTTGTGTTTAGGGGGTTTCGGGGTGTAGGGTTTAGGGTTTCGGGAATATGGTTTACAAACACTCGTGTAAACGGAGCTCTAAGACTGTAAGCGCCCTGCAGTGGCAGTAGACAGGGCTAGAACAGGGCTTTGGCGGGCCTCATCCGGGAAACCCGAAGAACTAATGTTACCTGGGTCCTACAGAACCTAGCTTTCCAGGGCTGGGATCCTTATCCTTAAACAGGTAGATTACTAAACTCAACAACTGGGAGGTTGAACGCTGCAATTGCAAGGCTGACATCTGGGATTCAGGCTTCCAGCCCCAACCCCCCTCCTCCCCCGCCCCCCCAAAAAGGCGCAAGACTCCAAAGTTTAGGGCAACGACGACTACACTGCGTGCCCGCGGCGCACCCGGTACTCGACGACCTCCTGTGCGATGGCCTCGAGGTCATCGATATCCTGGAAAGTTCTGGGCTAAGCTGCAGGGTCTGGGGTTGAAAGGGTTTTCGTGATTGCAAAGCCCTAAAACTCGAATTGAGTGTAGAATGGATAGAGGATAATCGGATACGCTCCAAGCCCCATGCCCTACTCCCGACCTAAACCCTAAACTCTAAGCCCTAAACCGGGCGTGAAGGTACCCACGGCTTCAGGATCAGGGTAGGTCTTCAGAGCTCCGAGGCTCTTCAGACCATAAGGCTCTGTGGCTTCAGGGGACGGAGGGTTTAGGGTTTAGGTTTAGGGTTTAGGGTTTAGGGTTTAGGGTTTAGGGTTTAAGGTTTAGGGTTTAGGGTTTAGGGTTTAGGGTTTAAGGTTTAGGGTTTAGGGTTTAGGGTAGAGAGCTTGCAGGGCCCAAAGTTCAAGACCCTCAGCCCTCACCCCCAAACTCCAAAGCCTGAAACCCTCAACCCTAACAACGCTAAACCCGAAACCCCAACACCCCCTAAAGCCCCAAACTCCCAACCCTAAATCTCCCAAATCCGAGAACCAGAACCCAAACCCTAAAGCCCGAACCCAAAACCCCAAACCCTGTCAAGCCTGAACCCGAAACCCTAAAGCCCTGAAGCCCGAAACCTAAGAACACCGAAACCCAGAGCCCTGAAACCCCAAAGCCCCAAAGCCCCTAAACCCCCAAGTAAGAAAAACGAAACCCAGAGCCCTGAAACCCTAAACCCCTACAACCCCTAAAACCCCAGGAATCCCGAAGCCCAGAGCCCTCAAACCCTAAACCCCTACAACCCCTACAACCCCTAAAACCCCCAGGAACCCCGAAACCCAGAGCCCTGAAACCCTATGCAACCCCTAAAACCCCTAAAGCCCCAAAAACCCTCAACCCGAAACCCAGAGCCCTAAAACCCCTAAAACCCCTAAAACCCCTAAAACCCCTAAAACCCCTAAAAACCCCTAAAAACCCCTAAAAACCCCTAAAAACCCCTAAAAACCCCGAAGCCCGGAGCCTCGTGCACCACTGCGGCGACCTTGGTCATAGCCTGGTGCTTCGACTCCGAGTCGACCTCAGGGCCCGGGCCAGGCTCGAAGAGCTTTGGGGGTTCAGGGCTTGGGACTTTTGGGGGTTCAGGATTTATGGGGTTTGGGGATTTTTTGGGGGTTAGGGATTTATAGGGTTTTGGATTTACAGGGTTTGGGGGTTTGAGGGGGTTTGGGGATGTACAGGGTTTGGGGGTTTGTAGGGTTTTGGGATGTATAGGGTTTGGGGGTTTAAAGGGTTTGGGGATTTATAGGGTTTGGAGGGTCATAGGATTGAGGACTGGAGTGCTCAAAGCGCTGCGAGGGGGGGGAGCTTTCCCACAACAAACCTGGAGCAAGTGACACCTGCTTTTTGCCGCTTGACCTTTGCTGATTTCTGCTACGTCCTCCCCTCCCCAACTGCCCCGAGAACAAACCTGGAGCAAGCGACACCAGCTTTTAGCCGCTTGAGCTTTGCTGATTTCTGCTACGTGTCCCTGCGCAAAGCCCAATTGCAAGCGCAGGATTGCTGCCGCCGCAGAGTAGACATAGCACTGCTCTGAACTCTGCCGGAGCCACATTACCAGCTACTTGCAAACCATGGAAAGCTATTTAGGCCGCTGCACTTCAATCTCTCACATCTGCAAGGCCGTACCACAGCCAAGATGTTGGGCAACGGCTCCGAAATGCACCCGCGAGCAAGGGATCACTGGCTGCCCGATCATCGATCATACCGAGCAGAACATCCCTCGTTCCTTGAGGCAAGGAAAGCTGCCGCGTTGCATTGCGTTCAAGTTGGTAGGAGGACCCCCTCAAACGAGCAAGCGTGCTGGCAAAGGCAGGGTCTTGCAGAGCTCGCATTTCTCCCGCCTGCTCATTGAGCTTCTTGAATTCCGCCACCAGGATGCTGCGCTGGTCGACTGACAGTGTCTGTGACCAATCTGACAGCGAAATTCGGGCCTGAGCGAGATATGCTAACTTCTGTTCCGTACACTGTGCCTGCCACCATGACGAGTTGGCACCTCTACCTGTGACTCTGACACCTGCCTTTCCGCCCGAAAGAACTCTGCGAGCAGGACCATTTGCTCCTCCTCTGTGTGAGCATTCCAATCGGAAGCTGTCTTGCCGCAACGTGGCAGCCAGCAGCTCAGAAAGTCAATCCGTTCGGTAGAGCTTAGGCCATTCCATCTGGTCACGCTACCAAGGATATCCTCCAGACTTGTCGCCATCGTCGAAGATTTGTACTGAGCAATAAGGCAATAAGTCTAACGTGTCGACCCTTCTGAGCTCAAGCCCAAACTGTCGCCTGGACTGACTTAGGGCTTGGACGATTTCGGGGTTTAGGGTTTAGGGTTTAGGGTTTAGGGTTTAGGGTTTCCGGGTCCGGGGATTGCAAGCCAAGGCAAGCTTCAGAGACCCCGGCTAGTGGCTCAGAAGCCGCATCCCCCCCCCACCCCTTAGAGCTTTCCTCTTCCACCTGTATCCCAAGGTAATGTAGGGCCTTGATAATTAGAATAGGGCTTTGGCCCCAAAAATACTATACTTATAATAAGGAACCACCAAAATAGTAGAGGAAACTTAAATTTAGGCCCCTGTAGTAGGATGCTTCCGCTTCTTCGCGGCTCAGGGTATACGCCGGGTTCTGAACCCAGGAGTCGGCGCTTGGAGTTTAGACCAGGGTTTGGGTGGATCTATACTACAATTGCATTCCAGAGCCCTAATCTAAGCAATGGTACCAATTATTCAAGGACAAATATGGATTTCGGAGCTCAAATGGACTAGGGGCAACAGCGCCCCTGTCGGAAGAGCACTTCTTACCGCAAAGTCCTCGGCCCCCGAACCCATTTCCCTGAACCATGAAGTTTAGGGTCTAGGGTTTCGGGTTTCGGGTTTAGGGTCTAGGGTGAAACCCAGGCCTTGAACACTGAGCCCTAAACTCCCAAGCTTCTAGCTCAAGCGTGCACCCCCAATCCCTAGACCTCAAGCCCCAAGCAGGCATTCTGCGAAGCCCGAAAAACCCCACAAACTCTGCCGACTCTGACATCGAGGCCTTCTCTTCCAGCTTCGCGATGCGCTCCTTCCACTGTCTCCTTTCAGCTGCTTGCTGCAAGCAGGACTCAGAGCGCCGAACCCAAACCGGATGGCAGAGAGTGTTTGAAACCGACACACCCTGTATAGATCCTAAACATCTACCTCTACATCAACCCTATCTAAAAGAAAAGCCTCAGCCCTCAAATTGCTCCTTTGAGCCGCGTCGTCCAGGGCCTTGGGCGCCGGGGCTGGTGGCGGCAGCAGCTCCTTGAGGGCCTCGAAGACCGTGTTGAGGGTTACGTGTTAAGGGCTCGACGGGTCTAGGGCTAGTAGGGTTTAGCGTTTATAGGCCTTAAGTCACATAGGGTTGTAAAGTTTAGGATTTGGGATTTAGAGCTTAAGTGTCGTAGACGTGTGTTTCTGGGAAGGTTCAGCGGTTCAGAAGTGTAGAGACGATCATCATCATCATCATCATCACCATCATCATCATCATCATCATCATCATCGTTCTCATCATCATCGTTTCAGTCGGAATATTGGGAGCTGTTTCGGAATGATGGGTGGAGGGTCACGGCAGCTTCTCACCCACGCCAGCCATGCTTCACAATGGTGAGACTCTTTGCAGTTGCAAACCCTAAACCCTAAACCCTAAACCCTAAACCCTAAACCCTAAACCCGAATCTTCTGATCAAGAAGGTCCCGAGTCGGAAGATTGGATGCCCGACATCATTCCTTGGAGCATCCCTGCGCCCCTCCCGAAGGCCTTCGGTGCTATAAGCATTGTTGAAAAAAAAAAAGAAAGTATGCCGACCCTTTTATTACCAAAACCCCGAAAATCCTCAAAGATGCCCTCGACATCCCTTGTAGGAGACCTCCAAGGAAGCCTACCCGCCCCCTCCCCTAGGCCCCCAAGCCCTCAGTCCTAAACCCCAAACCCCTAAATCCCCGAACCGTAGTTTTCAAAAAACTCAGAGGAGGGAACCCTGCACCTTTATGTTTGACCTTCCCCACTGCACCTTCTCGGCTTCGGCTGCAATGCGCTTGGCTTCCTGCCAGCAGCGTCCGGCTTGGCAGGGCATAAATAAGGCTTGGGGTTGTAGGGTCTAGGGTTTAGGATTCAAGCTGGTTTTGTTGCTTTAAGGGTCTTGCGGTTGCAGGGCTTTGGAGTTTGAGCTTTGGGTTTAGGGTCTGGGATATGGGGTGGTTTTCGCTTTATGGCTGCAGGGTGTTCGGCTGGATTGTTGAGATCTAGGGATTCAGGTGTTGGGGTGTATATTTTCGGCTTAGGGGGTCAGGTGTTCGGGGTGTTGGGCTTTGCGAAGGGTTCTGTGTTTCAGGGTTCTGGGAATAAGGTCTCAGACATAAGGCTGAGGGCCATAACCTCCACAACCGGGTCGCGGGCTTTAGGGTTTAGGGCTTAGGGCGTAGAGCGTTCGGGATGATATTGGTCACTTGCCTGCTTCTCGGATTTGTTCTAAACCAGGTCGCGCAGTTAGATATGTACTTCAGGGTCGTGGGCTAGTTTAGGTGGTCACGGCCTATGCTTCGGGGGGGATGGGTCAGGGACTAGGGTTTGCGGGTTGTGATGCATGGCTTCGGGTTGAGGGCTTGGGGGTTGCAGGATGGAGGATGTAAGTTTAGGGTTGGCGTCTTAAGTCAGTTCTATTATCATGGAACGACAAAGCCTGGCATACGAAGACGAGACGACAGAAGAAAGGGTGCCCTTCTGAGGATGAGCAAGAAGAAAGGCAAGGATTTGGGTTTAGGATTTAGGGGCCATGTCTCTCTGAAACCTTTCTTGACTGTCAGACTTCGCTTCCGAAAAAAAGCCCCCTGGACTGAAAAGCTCCAACCATGGTTAGGTAGGTTGTGTGGGCTAAGACTGGGGGGGCGTTCGGCTTAGGGTTTAGGGTTTAGGGTTCTCCTATCCCTCTACCTCTATATCTGAGCCCTCAACCCTACACCTCCATGTCTCCCCTGGTCTTGCGACTCAACGCCGACATCTTGATCTCCCACGTAAGCCCAAAGACCTGGAACTGAGCCTAAACCCCGCAGCAGGACTAAAGTGGCCTGAATGATTCGAAGAGGGCTTGGGGTATGAGGACTATGGGGCAGTATTCCTCTTCAATCAGACCCCGAAGGCAAACGAAACCGCAGACGCGGTCAGTGATTTCGCATCGTCTCCATGCTCTCATGGCACAGATCGTGGTGGCAATGAGTTTATCCCGAGAAGTCATCTTTTGAGACGTCGGGTTGACATAGAAGCCTACATAATCACCAACAGTATTTCGTTTTTGTTTTTTTTTTTTCTTTGGCGGGGGGTCCTTACTATGCTTATAATATAATATACCCCAAAACCCTATTCTAATCATTAAGGCCCCTACATTTAGGGGCTTGGGCTTCGAGGCTTGGAGATGAAGGTTTCCCTAAGTTTAGGGTTTTGGGGTTTAGGGTTTCGGGTTTAGGGTTTAGGGGTTTAGAGTTTTGGGGCTCAAGTCTGGGGTCAGGGGTTTCGGGTTTGGGGCCAAGGTGTGCAGGGGCCAGGGGTAGTTAGGAAGTTGACGGTTCGGGCTTTAGGGGCAAAGCTTTAGAAGTTGAGGCTATGTGAATCTGTGTGCACTCCGTTGTCTCTATTCGGGGTTTGCGGGGGATTAGCCTGCCCCTGCGTCCATATTGGACGTCAGCAGGAGCCGGGAAGCGGGACGAATGTAATGTATTACAACAGCAGGAAGTCCTGCTAAAAACAAAACGCTCCTGCTTGAGGAGAGCTTAGAAGGACTGATTCACGGTTGACTGCCCCAGGGCACGAAGTTGACAACAGCAAACCTCCAGAAGCAAGAGCTTGCGGAGCAGGGTCTCCGGATCAAGAGCAATCGCGCACAGCGCAGCGAGACAGCAATTGGCATTGCCAGATTGCTGCTATTTCAAAAGGGGCCGAGACCGCTAAAGCCACACTTGAAATGCTCTCCGGCGCATCAGGTGCACACTATGCCTCCGGAATTGCTTCTAAACCTCGGCCCCTGATCCGCTAGAGCAAATCAGAAAAATCCACCACCTCTGCGTCGCTGCGCCGCCTTCACGGCCTTTCTATGCATAGCAAATCCCAGAAGCGTCTCCGAGAACTCGTTGATGGCATCGGTGAAATATTGCTCCTTGACCTGAGAAGGAGACTCTTGGACGTCGGTGTTTGCTCGCTTGCTTTGTCAAGCGGTTTGGAGAGGATGTTGTTTTTCCGTCTTGGTGTATGTAAGGGGCTCTTCAACAAAAAGTAGCTGTATTTTTCAGAGCCCTTCTAATGAAGTAAGAACCTAGATACTATTTCGGTCCCATTGTAGAATTTAATATTTTCTCAGACCGCAATTACACTTCAGCTCGCGCATCTACCTTTTCAGGATCATAACCTCAACGTGGATGGAGGTCATGACATTCAGCTCTGGTGGGCCATTACTTCCAGGGGAATCCAACCACAGTCTGTCGAGATTTGGGTAAGGCTTTATGGTGCGCAAACTGCGCAAAACCCACAATTGAAGCAGAATAACAAATCCTAACAACTCGCGTACAACCTCGCACATAACGAACGAAAGGCAACGACCTCGCACGATGCGCTCAGGCTTGACAAGCAGGGATCGGGCCCCACGGTTCAGGGCAATGGGTTTGCCAGGCCCTTCCTTCCTGGGTCTTCTTAGGATCCGCACTCAGAGTTGAAGGCTTCGGCTTGATTTCAGCTCGGATTCGCCAGGATTTGGGATGATCTTGGGTCTAGGTCCCGCCGGCCGAAGGCTCCAGACAAGTCGCATCCACACCGTCAGTTTCGAGGATCCAGTTGCCACCAGCAGCAGAGTTCCTTTCGACGTGGCTCAGGTGGGTTCGATTTCGCGTGTTTTCGTTCAGGGGCCCTTGATGCGAAGCCTCCAATCCACACAAGATAGCTCCTGGGTGCAGGGGCTAGCAAAACAAACTCTGAATCGAACCTCTGCCTCTGGAAGTGCAACCTGCCTGTCTAAGCGGGTTCCAAAACCTTCCCGAAAGAAAACCGAAGACAACGACAGTAACTCTCCCAAACCCCGAAGAGTTTAACTAGACGTGCACATTGAAAGAGAAAACCCGAAACACCCCGTGAAATGAAGATTGAAGACCTCATCAAGCATCTGAAAGTCAGAGGCAGCTCCTCACACCCTCAACAGTCGCCCCCCCAAACTCCTCAACTTTGGGGCTTTGGTGGTTCAGGATCTAAGGTTCAGGGCTTTGGGATTAGGGGTTTAGGCATTTAGTGGTTGAGGATCTAAGGGTTCTTTGGGGAGGTTACCCCTTTGTTTTGCCGGTCCCTGTGAGGTCGGTGGAGGCCGCGAGGTTGATGCCCGACTCCTTCTCCAACTCTTTGAAGATCTCAGGGGAAAAGACGGCGTGGAGCTCTGCGCTTATGGGGTGTTTAGAGCTTTAGGAGGCTCTGCGGGCTTCCAACTTCTGGTCTTGGAAAGCTGGTTCGCAACGTCTTCGGCAGGTTGTATAAAGCTTGGGGTTATTCGCCCTCAGCCCCCGAATCGACTCAAACTGAAGGAAATCAACCGCTAAACCGAAACACCCTAAACCCCGACTCCCAACAGACATAAACCCCAAAAGCCACACCCCTGAATCGAATGGCCCATGCCTTCAGCCCGGTGGGTCCCGCGACCATCTCGCATGCGAGAATGTCCACACGAGCCCCCTTCATCCAGCGTCAGAAGTTGAGGCTTGCAATTCACAGCGTAAGGGATCCAAGTATAGGGTCAAGGCTTCTAGCTCGGAGTTTGGATTCAGGGCTGGGAGTTTTGTGAAGCTTCCCTAAACCCTAAACCCTAAACCCTAAACCCTAAACCCTAATTTGGTTTATGGTCCAGTGTTGGAGGATCTAGGCTTTGGAGATCAGGGTTCCGAGGGCCTTGGGGCTCACAGAAGCTGACCGGGCTAGGACCTCCTTCTCTTTTTGGAAGCCTCTATTTAGGGTTTAGGGTTTCGGGTTTAGGGTTTCGGGTTTAGGGTTTCGGGTTTAAGGTCTAGGGTCTAGGGTTTAGGGTTTAGGGTCTAGGGTTTCGGGTTTAGGGTCTAGGGTTTAGGGATTTTCTTCCCTCCTATGACCTTTCAGGGTCTGGGGCTTAAAAAAAATACATCAAGCTGCATTGGCCCCGTGCACATCATGAAGAATGACAACAGCATCTACGAGCATGACTGTGGAGGAGCGGCAAGCGCTCGGAATGTTCACATTTCCGAAGGCCGATGGCAGCAAAGAGCACAGGTGTCCGGAGCTGACATGTTTCTGTTACAGCTACTTGGCTTGAATCGCATCTTGTCGAGATCTCTTTTGATTCGATTACACGTGTTCCACAGATTTTATCCTGTTTAATGAGCTTGCGTTGGATGTGCATGCATTGCTTCCTATGGAGAGAGTGCGACCGCGGGAGGACAGGCCAGTGGAAAACGCAGGTCCGATGATGCAGGGTCGGCAGCACTGCCTTCCGCCTGCTGCTAAAACAAGGCTTGCAAGGAACCAGCGGCACTGGAGGGCGATCGCCCGAGGATTGGGCGCTGCAAGGGTTTTAATGCCGCTGCCGCCGCAGCCCGAGCGCCCACATTCTCACGTTGTCTTTCTCTCCCTCTCTCTCTATCTCTCTCTCTCTCTCTCTCTCTCTGTCTTTTTGCCACGGGGGTGGGGTGCGTGCGCGAGGTGGCCACGTCACTGCTATCTCTTCGAGACTTTGCGTGTGCGAGGCCGCATCGTCCCATTCCGCTTTCGGTGATTCTCTCTTTTTCCCTCTGTCTCTCTCATGGTAGTCGCATGCGGTGTCAGACACAGTCCGAGCATCCACGCTCAACTGGTAAACACGGAACAGGTAGCCTTTGACAGTGGTGTTGAACTTGTGTGGGCAAGCTTTGTGGACAATGGCTCGAGTCATTATGCAACATAACATTACACCTTGGGACTGTAAGCTCGACAATTTGGGCTTCTTTGCAGGTCAGACCTGCCGAGTGGCAGATTTCGACGTCTTCGAACACAATATCAACAGGCCTCATGGAGTCGCGTTCAAGGCCCTAGATCGCTGTGAAAAAAACCCGCGGGCTTTCACGGACAGGGCGAAATCGAAATGGATGCAAAAAAATGGTTTGCTTATGGAGATGATTGCAATCCTTCGCAGAAGCGCGCGGCAAATGCATTGGTCACCTGGCAGGTCAATTGTCTTTGCTAGGCCTTTCGAACATGTCTTTCTTTTTGTGTTTGGATGTAGATGTGCGATCAGGTCTCACTCAGGAGGCTTAGCCCTCCCCAGTTGCAATTATTTCCTTGGGAACCTCGAACAGGATGGCCATCACGTTACATCCAATGCGGCACACATTGTGACACGACCCATGTGGCCGGAAATGATTGTGGCATTTCGCAGTCATTTAGCCCCTACCCCACTTGCAATCATTTCCTAGGAGGCAGTGATGCCACCTGTTTCGGTTGCTGTCAGTGGCCTAAGAACATTTTGTTTTGTGCATGTCAGGGAGACTGCAGCGTTGACGAGAGACATCGCGGCTGCGTTCCTGGACGTGACAGAGTGCACTTGGGTGGATGACACCGTTGTGGACTGTCACGCCCTCCAACGTCTGCCATGGGCCAACGAGGTGCCTGGTCGAGGAGGTGGAGGATGGAAGGTGTCCAGACCCGTAAGATACACACAGGCAGCGGCAGGGAGGCATGCAAGTTTGCTGCTGGCCCCCGCCGGACTCGTGATGCGACACGCGCACAACACGGCGTGCGCGCACGCTTCACACCACCGGTTTCCAAGGGCATGTTGACGCTGGCTAGCCGGTACGCAACCCGTTCGCGCATGAGATGGGCATGTCGTATTGAGATTTATGGCCCAAAAAGGTGGAATCCTAACCCGCAGCCCCCCAAAACCCGAAATCCTAAGCCTTAGTTTAAACCCCAAAATCCCAACCTCTGAGACCCTAAAACCCGGCCAACCCTACACTCCTACACCCTTTGCAAGGTTGGGCTTCGGGGCGAGTCCTCTGCAAGGTATGGCTTCAATGCTGCCAAGAACTTCAGGTTCTGCTCCTCGCACAGATGGGCGCTCAGAAGGCTCAGGGTGTGGGTCCTGTACGTCCTGGGCCTCACGCCCTCACAAAAACAAAAATACATAAACCCAAAACCTAGCCTTCATCCCTCAACCTGGGCCTCCAAACCCAAAACCCAAAGCCCAGAAATGTGAATCGCAACAGCAGACACCAGGGACAGGAGGCCAAGGCCAGAAAAAACTCAAACACGAAGACCCTGAGAGATCCAGAACACTTCGGGCGAGAGGTGCCAGGCCCCCACTTGACTTAAAGCTTACACGTCAGATCCGTCAGACGCCCTAGACACGAAACCCACCACAAGAAATTCCATAATTACGGCTTGGGGAGAAAGCCGTAAAGCGCTTATCCGCCATACCGGTAGGTATGGCAGCGAGATATTCATGCTATGCTGGTCTGAATCTTTCTTCCGCCTGGAAGGCCGGAAGTCTAAAGCCCTAAGCCGCTGAAAGCCCTCAAACCCAGGAGAAAAGAAGAAACTGAAGCGAACACCACCTAGCACCCTCGACCTCAGATCCCGGAAAACCCTGAAGTCTGAAGCCCTTAACTCCCCCCCGCCGCACACTGAAACCCCAGCAATACACCGACCTAATACTAACGGTTCTTCCCGCGGGAGCCATCGCTGATGTGGATTAAAAGTTTGTTTCCTGATCAGTTGCTGCGTTTCTAAAATGGCAAAAAGCAGCATTTGAGCGCCAGAAGCACTATGCGTACGGAACACTTTGGGAGCAGGGGTTTGGGAGCTTCAATATATAACACTGTTAGAGTGCTAGATATTGCGCAACCCTTAAGAATGAGATCACTCACTAGCTACCCATACCCCAAACCCAAACCCCTAGATTCAGAGCCCTGTTGCAAATCCTTGTACTCGCCCGTCATCTCGGAGCCATGGAACATCCAGCCGACATGCGTAAAGGAGCCTTCGGGAACCTCGGGCTGAAAAAAGGGGGGTGGGGGTTTATAGGGCTTTGTCAGCCCCTGAAACCCTCAATCCTCCCCTAAACCCTAAACTCCAGGCTTTCACAGGGGCTTTTCGAAAGTCCGGTAAAAATTACAGGGCTTGGGTCTTTGCATGCAGCTTAGGGTTCAGTTAAGGATAAGAGTTCAAGCGTTCTAAGGGAATCCTCAGCCCTGAACTAAATCTCAAACCACGGACCCCTCAACCCCAAGCCCTCAAAACTCCCAACCCCAAGTCCCGCCATCGCAACCTTGAGCCCCAAAGCCCTGAACCTGAAGTCTCACAGAGTTGCCGCCACGGCACTTCTGCGGCCTTCATGGCGGCCACGATGTCATCCCAGAGCTCGTGCTGCTCCTGTTGCATTCCGGTGGTGTGGGCCCCTTTTGGGCGGCTGCTGGCCTCCTCTTGCCGTTGGGGGTGTTGGGTTGAGGGCTTTAGGGTATAGGGCTTCTGATTTCGTAGAGTTTGGCATCCCAGCTTTTTGGGGCTTCGGGGCTTGGCATGTGCGATTCGAACAGTTGGAGGCTCGGGGTTCGGGATGTCAAGCTTTTGGGCTTAGGGTGTAGGGAAACCTGGGAAGGACTTGATCAAGTTTACGGTCTACAGGTTAGAGTCAGGCTTTGGAGTGGTTCAGGGGTCTGGGGGTTTGGGGTTGGGGCGTAAATCCCTTCTACAATCTGTCACGCTCGCTTGTAAGCCCGATGCTAACGACCCGAAATTCTCCTTCAGACCTGGCTGCAAAGCCCCGCAAGCACAGCTCTAAACCATGAACCCACAGCCCAACACAACGCTAAACCTCACGCCCCCTAATTACACCCTAAACCCCATGCATTCCCAGACCCTGAACACCGAAACCTTGAATCCTAAGTTTGCGGGTCCTTGGCGGCGTACCACATTTGCATCACTCCCTCCTGCAAGCGGCTTGGGGATTCAGGCATGGGAATGGGTTGACGGTGGCTTCACTAGGGTTCGCGGCTTTGGGGTTGGGGAGCCCACGAGAAGCCTTAAGGATGTCGTGGCGTACCCTCTTCTATGCCACGGTTTAGGGTTTCGGGTTTAGGGTTTAGGCTTTAGGCTTTAGGGTTTAGGGCTTAGGGTTTATTGACAGAACAAGCTATACGCAAGAATGACATTGGCATTCGAGCACGTCCTCGCAACAGGTTTGACAAGACCGTTTTCATGTGCAGCAGCCCTGACTAGACGAGATGATGCACGAATCAAGAGGTGTGGCGGACGCTCGGAGACGGTTTAGTCTGGTTTAAGGGTTCAGATTTGTCAGTCGAGGGTTCAGGGTGTAGGGCTGAGTTTACTTAAGGGCTTGAGGCTTTCTTGTTGACGGTTTGCTGTCTTGGGGAGGACCAGTCAGTGTCAAAGTTCTTTCCAGTATCTGCCACCGAGTAGTAGCTTCTGGAAATGAACTTGACATTGACTTGACATCCCTGGTCCCATCCTCCGGGTTTCTGGCATGGCAGCCTACGCCCCAAGATCAAAAGCCTTAACCCCAAGCCTCAAGCCGTGCAAACTGCTAAACCCAAGCCCTTCAAAGAACCCTTGAAACCCCAAACCCCCCAAGCACACACACTCTTGAACTCCAGAATCCTCTAACCTACACCCACTATAAACAGAAAGCCCCTACATGCGCCAAGCCCACCGAAGAGCCACAGGTCACTTGGGAGCTTCCGGAAACAGGGGGCCTTATACAAATCCTAACGGAAAACGGTAGCAAAAACGATGTCGATTCATGTACACAGACGGAAAAGCTATCCAGCCTATAAACCTCTAATTTGAGAACACCCCGGCCAACGTCATTCGTCTTTCTGGCCCCACCTTCGCAGCAGAAGCAGCCACCGGCCAAGAGAGGATGCCATCGCTGATCCAAAGCAAAGTCTTCTCCTTCGCATCACACTCGATGGGGTATGTAGGGCCTTACAAAAAAGCCGTCTAGGACTTTGCAAGGTGCTGCACAGGGGTCTTATGCTACCCCCCAAACGAAATCTCAGCTCCGGAGCTTCTTAAAAAGTATGGGTCGCAGGTGGGCGTTCTAAGGGTCCTACTGCCCCTAGAGGACCTACCGAACCAAAGAGATCCCAAACCCCAGAGATCCCTAAAGCCCTAAACGCTCCTCAAAGCCCCGCGGTCTCCACCACAGCTGCGAAAGCCTACTTTACAACCCTAAACCCCTCAAGCCCTTAAAACCCTAGATCGTTGGACCCCGAGGCCCATCCACCCGTAAACTCTGAAATAACTCCGAAACGCCCCAAACCTATCCCAGAGATCTAATCTAGGGGCCTTAATAATCAGAATGGGGTTTTGGGTCCCCTTATACTACAGTCATAATAGGGAACCCCCAAAATAATAATATTGGTACTGATTGAGGCCCGATGGTTTGGAGGCCTTATGATCATTAGAATAGGGTTTTGGGGCCATTATACTCCAATCATAATAAGGAACCGCCAAAATAATATTGGCACTTATTGAGGCCCTAAACCCGAAACCCTAGACCCTAAGCAGTAAACCCTAATCAGGAACCCCCAAAATAATATGGTAATTGTTTAGGCCCCGGTATTATCGAGCAAGTCTCCCCTGCGTGCTTCTTCGCGGACAGCTTCGGCTTCAACTCATCGGAGGCAGCCTTCCACTTCCTGGGTTTAGTTTATGTTTAAGGCTTAGGGTTGAGGGTTTAGGGTTTACGGCTTAGGGTTTAGAGTTTAGGGTTGAGGGTTTAGGGCTTACGGCTTAGGGTTTAGACTTTAGGGTATTGGGTTGATAGTTTAAGGTTTACGGTTTAGTGTTTCGGGGCGTTGAATTGATCCGGGGGGTGTGAGGGGTTCTGCAAGGTTCGGCAAGGGTTAGAAGAAGATGGTGTCTTAGGGTTCTGGCCGCTTGGAGCTAAGGGTCTATTGGGTGTTGGGTTCTCGGGTCTCGCAAACACACATCCAACTGATAAGCCTCAAAAAAGAGGGGTGGTTCGGTTCGGGTCGAGGCGTTTACAGGGAAACCCTATGATGTCCATCTCTCTTCGCAGACAACGACGAAAGCGCGTGAAGCCGACTCATGGGACTTAAAGCTTGTCAGAGTCGGGCATCGGGCGTAAGGAAACAAGGAACCTGGGCTTCTTCGGGTACCTTAATAAACAGAGTAGGGCTTTGGGGGTTCCTGATTATAATTATAGTATAAAAAAAACCCCAAACCCTGTTCTAATTATTACAAGGCCCCTATATTATCCCTTTCTCCCTCTGGGTTTGAGGCTTGCGGTTTAAGGACTTTGAGCCCCGTACCTTGCGTCTTGGACATGGGCTTGGCGCTCATGACTGCTTGGGGCCTAACACTGACCTCCTAGCTACCCGTCATAGAGAACCCTAAAACCCTCAAGCATAAACCCTGAACCTGAAAGGAACCCCCAGCTCCCTTCACCCCACAGCGACAGCTGAGGCTCTTCTCTTTCTGGATGTTTGCCATGGCTTCGGCGATGGCCTCGTTGGCGGCATCCAAGACACGGGCCTTGTCCTGATGCCATGGATGTTGGAGTGCGGGACTGCGGGTGTAGGACAGGGAGCTTCGTCCGGCAATTGGGGTATCGGCGGGGCGTAGAAACGAGCTGTGCTGTCTGTGAGGCGCTCAGCCGCCTATGACACGAAACCCTGTACCGTACTGAGAATAGACATGTTGAAAGTTGGCCCTAGACGCGACAGATTTCAGATCCAGCTCTCCCCATCCCTGCAAAAGCGACCTGAATCCGTTTCTGCTGGACAAATTCCTGCTATAACGTTAAATGCTTCGTTACTCTAAGGTTCTCGGCTTAAAGTTTCAGTATGGTTTCGGGCTTCGGGTCTGTGGATTAAGTCCTGGGTTTAGGACCCTGACTCTGAACCCGAAGCCGAATGACCCTAAAAACTGAAAAGCCTGTACCCCGAGCCCTCAAGCCAGAGTAAACCCCCACCTCCGCGGAGAGTTCAGCAAGGGCGGGGAGAACCGCGGCATCAGGGCTGGCAGTGGGAGCGGACGCACCAGAGCCCATCTTCGCAAGTCGCGGACTTCCAGACCAGGAATCCTACAGGGCGTCTAGCTCGGGCCTGCGAGCCAAGCTGCGGTTTGCCGGCTTAGGATTTGTGGTTCTAGGGGCTCGGGATCGAAATATTGTGTTATGGGTGGTAGGGTTTTGGGTTTGGGGCTAATCACACCTCAAAGTAATCCGCTAAACCCTGCACCCCAAACTCTATGCAAAGCCTGAAAACTGAACCCTAACACCTCATGCACAACATAAACCTACGCCCGCAAACCCTATGCAAACTGCACACCCTGAAGCCCTGTGCACACCCTTCAATTAGAACCTAAACATCTATGTAAGACGTCGACCCCAACTTCCCCATCGAACCTCTGCGGTGGGTGCCGTCCCCTGCTCTTCGCCGACCTCATGGAGCTTAGTTTTGGGTATTTGGGGCTTAGCATGTGGGGGTTTAAGGCATAGGGTGGCTAAAGCTAAGGGCTTTAAGGGGTTAGGGTTCTGGGGCTTAGGGTTTAGATTTCAGGGTTTAGAGTGTATAGTTTTCGTGCCTGGGACTCGAGCATTCAGGGTTCAGGGTTTTGTTTTGCAGGCTTTAGGGGCATATGCGACACTGATACTTACAGCAATACGAGCATGTCCCAACGTATCCCAAACCCGATACGCCTGTGACGTCTGGAAGCGTGAAGACGGCCGACAGGTCCTAAACCCTGCATGCATGTCAGCTGATCTTGTTGGTTTTGGCTTCCAGTCCATCATGTTTTTGCTCTGACGTCAAAGCCCGAACAGACTAGAGACAAGACTGTTTCAATCCAAACACCTTTGCAAACCCACAACCCTAAACCTGAACCTACACACTGAAACCCTGAACCCTCAAAACCCCAATCGCAACCAGCCGAGGCACCTCACTAGCGAAGTGGCCATGAGAGGGAAGCAAGCCTTTCCTTAGTTGTAACAAACGATTGTAGTTGAAAAAAACGCTTGAACGTTTAGGGTGTAGGGCATTAGATAAAGCCCTCCCTGTGCGTTTAGGGTTTCAGCGGTGTGGAAGGTTCTATTCTAGGACATTTGGCTGTAGACTCCTCCAGGTGGGATTTTGGGAGGGATGTGAGGCGTAAGGATGCGCGAGCTGGGTTTTGATCTCTTACCTTTGGCACTTCGAGTTTGGTGCTCAGGTGCACTTGGAAGTCGAAGCGACAACAAAGCGTCTGCTGCCTTGCTTGAGACCCTTAACCTCACAGTCATGGCAGGTGAAACCACCCAGCTGCACTGACGGTTTAGCGACATGACCTTCGGAGGACCTCAATAGGAGGGTAACAATTCCTCTTGACCCCACCAGCCAGGCTTCGAGACGCGGCAAGCATCGACGTAACGTGGGTCGGACTTCAAGCGGGCCACCTTGCGCACAGCCTACTACGACACCTCGAGCTCCGAACCCAGAAGCTTCACAGCAGCAAGACCATGTGACCTAAATCTCTGCACCGTCCGAAGTTTAGGAGAAGCAGAGCATGAAACCCCAGCACCACAACCCTCAACCCCAAGTCCCACCCATCCCAAACATGCATAACATAGCTCTTCCCCAAGAGAAGTGAGTTGGAAACCTAAGCCGAAGGGAAGGGAAGGGAAGGGAAGGGAAGGGAAGGAAGGGCAGGGCAGGGAAGGGGAGGGGCGGGAGGGCGAGCCAGGCAGGATCCCCCACCTCCTTGCCAATGGCTGCGCGCTCCTGCAGGTATGAAGCAGGAGCAAACTGGGAGCTTCGCACGGCTTGGTGATGTGCTCATGTGCACCGAAGAGCCAGAGCCCCATCGCAAAAAACCCTGAACCCCAAATCCGTTAATGAGTTCTTACAGAACCCTTCAAAGGAACCCCCCAACCTAGACCGCAAAGGCAGCTCCTTCTGATGGTCTTTGCCATGCAGCTCAACGGCATCACTTTCCAACTTCTCGATTTGTGCCTTCAAGCTTTGAGGTTGAGTGCTTGAGGTTCAGGGTCTTGGGATTTCAGGCTTAGGAGTCTAGGCTCAGGGCCACGGGCACATACTCAGGCATCCATACTGCAGTGTTGTAGGGTTGAACGGTTCACGGTCTGGCGTTTATGGATCACAACTATGAGGCTCAAGTTTGGAGTCTAAAGACAAACACTTGCGGAAAGCCCTGCAGAAGAAAGTCTTTTCGCAACCATGCGTCCGAATCCAAAGCCGAAGCCCCGAACCCGCGCACTCTCAGTCCTCAGCAACAGTCTTCGCGCCCTCCCGGGCAAGTCAGGACTTCACGCTATCGAATCTTGTGTTCGCGGCTAGCGTTTGTGTAACCGTTTAGGGCTTGCTGCTGAGACCAGAAAACCTAAAGCCACAGTACACTGGAGCCCGGAAAAATCTTTGATAGTAACAAATTGATGATGCATACTAGCCTTGCTTGGCAATCCGGAAACCCTCAACGCTACATCCTAAACCCTAAACTCCCTAAACCCCAAGCCAATAACAGTAAAGCCGACCTCCATCTTCGATTTGAAGTCCTGGGCACCTTGGGAGGCATCGGGCCTTCATCATTCGAATACGGGTTCGGGAGTATATTGTAGTAGAAATACATTAGAACCTGCTTCCAAGCAGGGTTTCAGCCGAGCTGCTTTCGCCCTTGAGGCTGGTCACCTTCTTCCTCAGCCGCTAAGACCGCTTCGGCTTGGGGATTCGGCCATAGGATCTTTAGGGTTTGCAAACGAGGACTTCGGTGTTGAAGTTTCGGCAGCGAGGGGGTCTTGGAATTGGGGCTTTGGGGTTTAAAAGCACAAGGGCCACCCAACTTCAGTTCCGAATCCGACCGGGTCATTCTAACTGCAACTACGAAGACTCAGGACGCCCTTGCAGAGTCTTCTCACAGTTCAAGGTTCGTGGATGAGTTCTACTAGTGCCAACCAGCTGCACGATGTTGCCGACGGCACTGGTGATCCTCGGCAAAGCTGAAGCCCAAAATTCCAAAAGTCTTATCCCCAACCCAATTTAGGCTCCTGAAATCCAGACTCTGAAAGGAAGGAGCTGAAGTGTGTTCAGGCGTCACGTGCGCAGTTCTCTAAAATAGGGCCCCCTTTCAGGTCCTTGATACAATACAGGGACCCTAATTTGGAGAACTACCCATATAGGACGAAATCTTTCAAGGCTCTCTTGGGATGGTTACACCCTCCATGCGCCACGCTGAGAGCCCAACAACCCCCCGATTTCTCAGCTTCTAAGCTTCAGGGCTCTCTTCGGGCTTAGGGCTTTGATGGTTTACGCGTGTGAGCCTTTTTGGGGGTGTGAAGTCTTGGGTTTCTTCTCGGGGCTCCCCCTTGTCTTGCGACGGTTGAGACCCGAGCAAGGATCCACATCCTGAACCCGTTTACGCCGGAGAAACATGATCGGACCTCAGATTCCTCGCAGAGCCATGCTAATGAAGAGGACGTGGGTTTGATGACGACGAGCAAGAAAATGACTAATTATGATCATCGATGTCATCATATCCTCATCCGCATCATCAGTAGCAGCAGCGGCAGCAGAACCAAACATGGCTGTGGGATGGTGAATACTAGTAAGAACACCTGGGTCCGCGGCTGTTGCATTCTGTTCACTCGGCGAAGGCAGCGAACCCCAGGGGATCGGCAAACAGCCTTCAGATTCCGACAGGATGCCGCACTTGTGCGCTGATCACTAATACTGCCGTGGAGTTTCACCACAAGCGTGCCTTGGGATTGTTACTTCTCCCATGATGCCTCTGATGATGGCAGTGGGGGTGTGGGGGTGGTGGTGATGATGACGACGACGATGATGATGTTGATGATGACGGTGATGATGCTGATGATGACGATGATGACGACAATGATGGTGGTGTTTATGATGATGATGGTGATGGTGATGGTGATGATGGTGATGATGGTGATGATGGTGATGATGATGTTGTTGATGATGATGGTGGTGGTGATGATGATGGTGACGATGATGGAGATGATGGTGATGCTGCTGGTGATGATAATGATGATGGTGATGATGATCATGATGATGATGATGGTGTGGTGGTGGAGGTGATGGTGATGGTGATGGTGATGATGGTGATGATGATGATGATAATAAGAAGAAGAAGAATAATAATGATGATGATGATGCTGATGATGATGGTGATAAAGGTGATGGTGATGATAATGATGGTGATGATGGTGATGATGATGAAGAAGAAGATGATGATGATGATGATGACGGTGATGGTGATGGTGATGCTGATGGTGATGCTGATGATGATGATCAATTTAGCCTAAACCTCCTACCTAAACCCTCAGCCTTAAATCCTAAAACATCCGAAAACCTAAGGTCTGCGGTTTGGGGTTCCCAAATGTAACGCGCTGATAAATGCACTCCACCTAAACCTGGAAACCTCGACTAGGAAGCTCCACACTCTCAGCCCCGAAACAAAGCCGCACGAAGCTCCACATGTATGTTGTGAGGTTACGGTTTCGGAGAAAATTTGCACTCCTCCACATGAGCTTGAGAAATCTCATAAACAACAACGAACCCAGAATTAGTAGAACCCTAAACTCTAGACTCTACACCCCCAACACCCCACCCCAAGTCCCAAACCCTCAGTCCCTAAACCAAAACCCTGAAACTCCTGAAGCCCTGAATGCGAAAATTGGAACACCCCATCCCGTCCGTCCCCTTTGCCGAACCAAGTCGCAAGTCGCTAGGAATCTTCACAGCTCACGCTTGACAGAACCGAAACACCCCGGAGTGGCGCGTGAGGGAAGCTGGGGATTGAAGCCTATGGGGTTGAGGATTAAACGTTTAGGGTTTAAGGTTTAGGGTTTAGGGTTTAGGGTTTAGGGCTTAGGGTTTAGGGTTTAGGGTTTAGGGTTTAAGGTTTAGGTTCAGGTTTAGGGCATGGGGTTGGCACCGACCAACAAGGGCCCTAAACTCAAACCAGTGTTCTCAAAAAGCTGCGCTTGTTGACTCAGACGACAGAAGATTGGGATTTACAATTGGCCTTCTTGGGATT